CCTGTTGCCGGTCCCGGTCCGGTACGGGCGTGACACTGAGGGTTGCAATCCATTGCCGGTCACGAAAAAAGACAAAAAAGAAAAAAAAAAGAAAATGACATAACAATAGTAATAGGCAAAATGTTCCAAAATTCTTTCCCAGCCCAGGATTTTTCTTGCTGGAAGTCACTTCATTGAATTGACATGCTAGAAGCTATGCTACTTCACCTACCTAGAAGAAAATGGAAAATAAAAGGCCTAAGTATGGAATTTATTTTTAAATAGGAGATGAATAAACACTGAATACACAAAGAACATGACGGGCAATGCAAAAAATATCTATGATTTATCCATGTTACTGCGAGCTCATTCATTATTTTCTAATGACCGACAAAAAGTAATTTAAGTTAGGAAAAGAACTACAAAAGAAACCCAAAGAAAGTAGAAAGAAAGATAAAATAAATATAGGAGTGAAAATGAATATGATTGGAAAAATGCATATAATAGAGGAAATCAACAATATCAAAAGTTTATTGTTTAGGACAATAATGCTAAGAAAATAAGCAAGACTTCAGTAAAATTGATTAAGGAAAAAGAGTTAAGGCACAAATAAATAACATTATGAATAAAAAAGAAGACATGAGTATAGACAAAACAATACTATCAACAATCATGCTAAAAAAATTGAAAAGTTAGGTGAAATAAAATTTCTAAAGAAAGTATAATTTACCAAAACTAATGCAGAAAAGTGTCATAAGTTGTAAATAATTGAAGTAGTGGTTAAAATTTTTCCCATGAAGAAACTATCAGTCCCAAATAAGTTTATGTGTATATTCTACGAAACTGAAGGAACTGATCAATGCAATCTTATTTAAACTCTTCTTAAAAGAGAAGAAAAAAAGGAATATTCCCCAGTTCATTTCAAGAAACCTACATAACTCTGACACCAACCCCAGATATAAAATGAGAAAGAAAAATAAGGCCATTACACTCATGAATATAGAAGAAAAATCCAATCAACATTTTAGTAAATCAAATCGAACAATGTATTAAAAACAAACTAATACACCTTGATCAAGGCAGGTTCATTCCATGTATGCAAGGATAGATTAATATTTGTAAAAAACTATGCTACTGCAACAACAATTTTAGAAAGAAAAAATGTATATAGTTACCTCAAGAGATGCAGGCAAAACATTTGATAAAACTCAACATAAGCACATGATTAAAAGCTTTAGTAAATCAGGAATAGAAGTCCATAACCTGACAAAATGTATCTCCCCCCCCAAAAAAATCTTACAAAAAGTGAAAGAATGATGAACACAGCATTCAGGATGGGTAAAGGGAGACAGGGGATGAGGTGGGAAAGAACCACATAGATAGATGTAAATTATTGTCAAGGTCCTAATTTCTATGCTGAGTACAGATTCCAATGGATTCTTATCATATTATTAAAGTCAAATGAACAAACAAACACGCAAGGACAAGTGATGAGAGTATGTCATACAACAGTGGGTCTCAGAGTGTGGTTCCTGAACCAGCAGCGTCACCTAGAAACTTACGAAAAACACAAACACTCCAGCCCTACTCCAGACCTTCTGAATCGGAAACTTCGGGGGGTGGGGCCCAACAACATGTGTTTTAATAAGCCCTCCATGTGAGTGTAGTCTTCCTCTGCAAGAGTCACACTAGAAGCATCTCATGTTCCAGATAACGGTTATACCTTATGAACTTCTGCCAACTCATAGTCCATCCTTGCTTCCCTCTTCAGAAAGCCAGCTTTGGTGGTAATGACTTTTGGCTTTGGAGGTCTGATTCGGGGTTGTGTCACAAAATCTGGGAGACATGACTCAAGTTCGACTAATCCTATGAAAAGGAAATATGTGTTTTTATTATCTAGTGCTTAAATTTATCATTTTTAAAGTATATTTTAGTAGCTATTTGCCAAATGGTTTCATTGGAATTGTTGATAAGGTGTATCTCATGTAATAGAATGAACTTGTCCCTGAAATGTGAAGCACACTTCTATATAATTAATTCATGTTCTCCGTGACTTAGACTATAAAATAAGAAATGCATTCTAAAATGAAAGTCCTAAGAAATAAGTTCCACAATAAAAACAACAGAGAATTAATGATCCTATGACACATGGCACCAAATTCTAAAGTGTATGTTTACCAATTTATCACATTCTGCTCTGGATGGCCAGCCAGAGCTACGGTTTCAACATGTGACCATCAATTCATGATTTTGGCCATGTGATGCTTCAACCTGTCAACTGAAATTTAAATAATTTAAAGAAGCCTGTCTTAAACTTCATAAAAGGTACAGCCCTCTCCATGAATTTAATCCCTTCATTGTCCATCTCCTTGCCCACTAGTTTTCTGACATTTTGTAAAGAGTTGATTTCGTTACACATTCTTGTTTGCTTCATAAACCTGGTGTAAAAGTTCTATTAAATGAAAGACCTATTTCATTTTTGCATAACTCTGTGACATTAAACATTTTTAAATGTTTAGTTGATAATTTAATTTACTCCTTGCTAAATTGTTCTATAGTGTGTCCATTTATTTATTTGGGTCTTAGTAGTTTATATTGGTTTGCATGAGCTCATATTAGTGATAATATTAAACCTGTTCATTGCTGCTTCTTGCAAATATTTGTATTGTTTAGCTTTTAATCTAAATTTCTATATTTTAGACACAATTCTACATTTTTCAGATAACCCTCTTATACTGGACTTCTAATTATGTAAATTTCTTACCTTCATAGGTGTTGAGATAGTGGTTTTTTACTACAAAATCTTCTGAGTTGTTGTCTGGGAAACGACCAAGACGAGATAGAGGTCCGTAGACCTGTGATGCATAATCAGAATAATCCTTGATGATATTTCTTCTCTCCAACTTCCCTTCTACATTCTTTCCCTTTCCTACAAGCTTTCTGATTGCTGAAATAAAACATACCTCCATGACTATCTCCAAAATATTGTTCTGAATTATCCAAATGCAGAATAGTGAACCAATTCAAGTTTTATTCACAGGGAAGCTACTGAATTGAATGAATTTCATGATGACTCACCACAATCAGAATGTAACACTAAAAACAGAGTGCTCCCATCTGTGTGGCCCAGATCGTCATGAGACAGGCAGAACTGACAGAAGCTAAATCAGCTAGTGTCCCCAACTGGTACTCATCAAAAATCTTTTTTAACTGCATTCCGAGCTCCAGGTCAAGAAGAGAAATTCAATAAAAGTTTGTTATGTGAATGAAAGAAACTAAAAGTAACTGAAAAATACATGTTCATTGCAGAGCTAGGAGAGTTAGTCTCCCCTACAAGAATAATTAGAAGGGAAGACTACAGGTTCATCTTGGCTAACACCAGAATAAACCAGAAGATGTTCTAACTTCAAGTTTTCAGAATTGCTTGGCAGTTGGCGGGAAGAGGCTCAACCATGCACATTAGCCATATACTCATCTGAAGAGTCATGCTTACTATCTCCACCTTTTCTTTCAAATCCCACTGCAGACCCACCCCCTTTTGACTGCTCTACATCGCACACCCTCAATGAGTATAAAGTCATGTCACAAGACTGCGAAGTCATATTGTAAGAGGGGGCCTGTGTACCACTGCTGCCTTGTGGATGTTGTTTATGTTTGATCCTCGGTGCTTCTGTGTCACTTAGGATTTTAGAATTAAGTAAAAATAGTTTATATTTTATTACTTGTCTACAAAAGTTAGTCAAATTGATTATTAGTTATGTCAAGTACTGAAAAGAAAAAATGTTGACAACATCTAAATGAATACCTAGCAGCTAATCAAGTTAAAAGTTATTTTCTCACATCAAGAAAAAGTTAAGTTCACTAAAAATAGTTTCTAAGTAATAATTTAGTTTTATAATTGTTTTACTTGTTTGAAAAATAAGTTTTAAATGATTTTTTAAAATGTAACTATATTGCTATTAAGTATGTTTACAAATTGCTAATTTGCATATGTAATTGGTACAATTTTTGTAAGTAAATAAATTACATTAAAAGTTTCTCAGCAAATAAAGGTATAAAATTAAGTTAAATGATAAAACAAAATTTTTTAATATAAAATTTAACTTGAATTTTTTATTTAGTCATTTTTAATTCCACACTGATTAAAAAGAATAAGCTGTATATGTCTTCTTTTTGTGTATAAAGCACAGATAAGCATATAGTACATAAACATATATATGATATATCTGTGGTATTAAAATTTCTTAGAGGGGAGCGATTTGGAAAAAAGATGTACACAATGTCTCCTCCTTTAGGAAGCAATAATGAAAGAAAGGTTGAGAAACGGGCCGTCTATCCGGGGCCTTAGCCCGCGAACACGAGGGACCCAACACCTCCTCGCACCCACACACACACGGCCCACAACGTCAACAACCTGACTCCCTGTCAGATCATCATCATCTGATTTTCTTAGTGAGGGACTCTGCTCCACTCCTCCACCTTTGAGAAATCGCTCATCTCTCATCCCTCATCTATTCCACACACCATGACAAAACCAGAATTATGTCGCAGTTAAATTGGGTTTGGTCAAAGATCCAATGCAAGGCCCACTTTTCCATTTTCTTCACTGTTCATACTACACCATTACTTGACACGTGTGTGCGCTGGATCTCAGCTACTTTCGCCTCTTTTGCTTCCTGCAGTTTAGACCACTGGGCGTTCAAGCGCTCCATGTTCACTTCCTTTTGATTCTCTTCACGCTTCCTCAGCAGTTCTTTTAGAACTTCCAGGCGAATCTCCTGCAGTCTTCAAGTAAATTACAAGACATAAAGAAGTATTTGGTATCTCAGAGAGGGCACTCCACTAGAGAGCAGGGCAACAGCTGCTGCAAACAGGACCTTCTCTGTGGGCTGGTGTCACGTGCATGTATTATAAAAAGACTGCCCTGGCAACAGTGTGACAAATGAATTGGGGCTGTGGGGGCGGCAACTCAATAATGAATCTGTATATAACAGGAATTTATATGGGTGAAGCTCTGAAGGATGAAGAAGAAGGTGCTAGGCAGATGGGGTAAAAGACGGGCTCCTAGGCAGACAGGCCCATGGGAACAATGGGTGATCTGCGCACAGCTCCAGGCCGACTGGTGTTGGTGGACAAGTAAGTAATAGCAGGAGTGAAGAGAAAATGAGGTTCTGGCCAGTGCCTGGCACACAGTAGGTACTCAATAACTCTGTTTCCCTGACCCTTACCTCCAATTTGTTCTCCTAGTGCTACCTTGCTCATGAGTATCCAAACACGTACAGATGACTTCAAAATCTGTACCTCCAGCCCAGATATTTCTGAACCAGAATCTCTAACTGTCCCTTGACAATGTCAAAAAAACAAAAACAAAAAACCCTACTAATTTTGTTCCCCCAGAAATCTGTCCTTCTCTTGCCCCTTCTCCCCCTGCTAATGCGCCTGCTCTGGAGCACTGCTTGTGTCTGTTCTCCAGCTCATGCTTTTGTCACCTCTCTCCCAACTTGGACTCCTTGCTGCCGGTCTCTCCTCCTTCCCATCTTTGCTCCACACAGCTTTCGAGGTTTTCCTTCTTAAAATAGAGATTTGAACATATATATTACTCCTATTAAGAAATCCATACATTAATTAATTTGTTTTTCTTTGTGACAAGGTTTTAATTACAGATTCAATTGAAAATACATGTACAGCTCTTCAGATTTTTCCCTTCTTCAGTCAGTACCACTAAGTTGGGATTTCCTAGGAATTTTTTCCCCTTTATAAAAGTTTTCACAATTATGAGAGTAAGGTTGTATGTATTTAATATTCTCTCATTATCTTTTAGGGGCTATAAGATGAATAGAAATCATATATTAATTTATCACTCATTCATTTGCCAAGTGCTTATTAAGTGCCCACCATATGCCAGGCAGGAAACAATGATATACAAGATAAAATGCCTTCTCTCGAGAAGCACTGTTCTAGTGCAACAGGCATATTTACAACACAGGGAGATAAAGACCAGGCTCGGAGAATGAACAGACTTCTGTGGGAGAAGAAATGACAGAGCAGGGGGGAAGAGGGGAAGATGAGAAAGGCTTCCTCAGAGGAGCTAACTCAGCAGAGTCTTGAGGGTAAACAAGGACTGGGATTTGCCACGCTGACAAGAAGCAAGGCCTCACCAGAGGAGCGCAATGTTCAACCCAAAAGGACTAGAGACTGAGCAAACATGTCACACTGGTGGAGCTTCTTGAAGGGAACACACTTGGGAGGGAGACAGAGGAGTCACAAATGAGCACGGAGAGGCAGGCACTGTTTAGACACCAACCCAACCCAAAAGGACTAGAGACTGAGCAAACATGTCACACTGGTGGAGCTTCTTGAAGGGAACACACGTGGGAGGGAGACAGAGGAGTCACAAATGAGCACGGAGAGGCAGGCACTGTTTAGACACCAACAGTCACCTTCCTCTCTAGAGTTAGAAATCCTAGATCACTTCTCAACTTCATCACTTACCTCAGTTTCTTCCATTGTAAAATGGAGATAACAACAGTATCCACAGTATAAGGTCGTTGTGAGCATTGAGTTAATGTACGCAAAGTGCTAGACCACTAGTTCTCAAACTTAACCGTGAACCAGAATGATCTGGAGGGCTTGTTATGACACAGACTGCTGGACCTCACCTCCTGGTTCAGGAGGCCTAGAATGGGACCTGAGAATGTGTGTTTCT